CAGCATTCACAGTCACGATTGAGAGCGTGTCTGCTTGTACGTGCTGCACGTGTTTTGGCGGCGGTCGGCGCAGGTGAGGTCGCGTCTTACACCTGCTGTTCTGCACAGCCCCACAGGCAAAGTTGGAAGGAGGCAGCAGCACGCGGGAGCCGCCGTTGTGGTTCGCGCGAACATGACCATCGATGCCACGACGTCTCCTTCGGCAGTCGCAAGATGAACAGCGCTCATCTCTCTGCGCGTCCACGCTCACTTCGCTGACCGGCCACACCGATATCCCAAAGCCTGCCCCTTGCTGAGCGTGGCTTATGTGTGCTAGCTACTGCTGCTGCACCTGCCTTCACCATCCCAAGCGTGCCTTGCATGCTGAGCTCCAGACGAGCGAGACAGCACTCGCGACACCGACTTAAGCATCTCAAGTCGGCTTTCACGAGAACAAGACTCTGATAGCAATACACTTCCCGGGCGCCTCGCGTTACACTCCAGCGTTCGACCACGCGTGACTGTGGCATCCCGGATGGCATTGTCTCTCTTGCCGCAGCTTCACGTCATCCCAGTTGCGGCAGCAAGAGCATCGAGGGAGCGAAGAGGGTCGAAAGTAGAAACATTTGGGCTGCCGCAGCTCTTCATCAGCGGGGGCGACCATGATAGCTTCTCCGATTGCAGGCGCGCCCTGGCCTGCTCCCACCCCTTCGGCTAACGGCACCGCCGTGGCCGCCGGCTCGACTTCTGCCCATTCTGCGCTGACTTCAGAGGGTGGCGGGCCATCCGGAGCAAAGTCACCTCCGCCTCTATCGCTGCTAGTGGTCGGGGTAGCATCCAAGAATGGCTTCAAAGGTAAAGGCGCGAGCGAAGATCTCAATTTGGCTTTGGCACCTTCTCGAGATCGACCGATCAACACGAATGCGAGCATAGGGTCAGAGGCAAAGTCGCAGGAGCCGAGTGGCTTGCAAAGCCTGGACCAGAATCCGTCTCTGATCGAAGGCATCTTGCCCGCTGTGCTCCAGCTGCAGCAGAGGCTGGCACAAGGAGCCAAAGCTGGCCCCTACGCGTTGTGGGAGAAGCCAGCAGAGGTGCAGGATGGATCGCTTCATGGGGAGGAGGCAGCGGCATCGCAAGGAATCCCCATGAGGAATCCGGGGGGCTCGGGCTCTGGGTGGGCACTTGGAGCTACGGACGACGATGCTATGGCATACGCGGCAGACGAAGCACTCTTATCGAATCTCAGAGCTAAAGTGCCAACGCAGCTCAATAAGGACATAGTCGCGGACAGACGAGTCCTGGAGGGGATGTATGCCAGGGCACGAGCCGCGGTCAGAGCTCTACCTCCACAGCCGGCGAGGTCTCTCGCGGAGACGAAGCACCTCGAGGACAACACCTCGGGCGATCAAAGCGAGGAGACGACCGCACAAGAAGCTCGAGAGCTGACGGAGGCGCTAGAAGCATACGAGGAAGCGCTGAGAAGGGCGGCGCAACACCTTGCCCGGGTCGAATGGAAGAACGACAGGCAGTAAACACGACCCATACAAGCGGCAACAGTGCTCCCATAGGGCACGAAAGCTGCGACGTGCTCCATGTCGAGACGCATTACGCCCAAATACGCGCTCTCGAGACCAGACGTAATCGGCGATGACATTGTTTGAGCAAAGGATGACAAAAGGAGAGGTCCGAGGAAGCGCGTAGTGCATAACGCAGATGGATGCTGAGCAGCAAGGGAGGGTGAAGACGCCGACAGCATCTTGAGACAAAGGTGTCGAGAAATAAGGCTGTTGCGCTTCGAGACTACTGTTACATTCGTGATGCAGCTTGGCCCTTTGCATCACCAACCGCCGCAGTTCCTGCAAATACCATTGCTGTCCCTTTTCCAATTGCCACCGCGGCCCCCTGCACGTGCTTCGACATCGACATCTTCTCTTCGGAAGTTGCCGCCATTGTGGCCGCCGTACTCTGCGCTTTCATCTTCCCTGCGCCATTGAGGTGTTCTGGGTGGCCCGGCGGCCGCGTTGACTGGGTCCCTTTCGACGATAAGTCCCTCCGAGTCTGTGACCAGATGAGGTGCAACGGAATCTTCGTCAGCAAGGTGACTTGACGGTGTGTTGACTGACCCAAAAGCAACCGAGACTCACCAGCAGAAAGGACGGGGGCCGCGTTTACGAAAGCGAGCAAAGCCACGAGAGCAAAGGCGTAGACGACACGCATTGTTGAGGAAGAGACACAAGTGCACAGCGATCAGCTGTGCTGTAGAACACTGAATGGAACAACAGGACGAGCAACACGCCAGAGGTCAGCGACGCGGCAATGGCAATGCTGGTCTTGGCAAGGGCTGTCGTGTGGTCCAGCCCGCGACGATCGTGATGGATGCTATGGTGCCACACCCTTGTCCGCGTTCGCAAAGCGATACTCACAGGGGATTTCCTGGAAATGCGACTTTGAATCAGAACAAGCTCGGGAAGTCGATCTGGGCGATAGACGCGATGGTGATCTAGAAGACCTCTGTAGACTTCGCTTTTATGGTACGTGCTGGGGCGAGCGTGGAAGGCTGACAAGTTTCTCAAGGGCAGGCGCGACGAGACGAGGACCCGAGTCAAGCAGCTGACTTCATACGAGAAAGCCGTGAGATTGTGCAGTTGCACGGGTGGATGCAGTGCCAAGACGAGAACGGCGAGCGACGAGGACCTGAAAGAGGTGCCAGGACTTGCCGCGGTACGGCAGCGTGGGTAGGTGTGCACATTCAGAGTGTATGTGAAGAGGGTTCTCAATGCTGGCGCTTCGAATTCACGACGTCGTCATCAGACGACGTTGCGCCGACGTATTTGCATTTGGGAAGGGAGCACCCACGGAGACGGGCCAAGTCCCGCAAAGAAGGAGTAGTTTAGAGCGTGTGGGAAAGTAGGCCGGCTTTCTGTACTGTACTGAGGCCGCCCTAAGCTGGCTTCCTCGCAGTAGTGTGAGCACTCCGATCATTTTGACGGGCCGCTCCTCCCTCAGAGTCGCAGGATGGAACTTGCAGCCACACGGAGAGTCCGGCCAGCTAGTCAGTGTGTGCACAGAGGGCAACGGCGCTGCTGCTACAAGGGCCGCCTCGAGGATGGGCGCCTGCCTGTCTTTGCGCTGCGCTTTCCAGAGCTACTTCCATGCATAGAGACAGGGAACGAGAACCCGAACAATTGGGGCACACCACCATGTGAGCTGCAGTAGGACCCGAGTGCAAAGTGGTGTGACCCGAAGAGTTGAATGAAGGCGGGACGGTCAAATTTGCGCATGAATAGCGTGCTGAATGCATAAATCACTTTGCTATGTGCGTGATCGCGATGAAGAGAGCAGGTGGGGGCACCCAGCACACGCAGCACCGCCGTCTCGGCGCTCAACTCCGGCATCTGGCTGGTGAAGCTCCTTTCGACTCCGCCGTCAGCGAGGAACGCCCAAGGTAGTTGGTGCATGCAGCTTCGCTTGAGCAAACAGCTACTGCACTTGTGCATGAACCAGACACTGTCAAGATGTGGTACAGTACCGTGCAAACGGCGCAGTGCGCAAAGCTTTACTGTAGCACACTCAAGACTCCACCTGAAAATCTGAAATGCCGTGATGCTTACCCGGCACTCGGATGCAAAACCTGGCCTTGTCATGCAGGCACGAGCGGACTCCCCGGGTTCGCGACTGTCCGCGGGAGGTTCACCGTCATGCACGAGAGGCCGAGACTGCCGTCTTCTCAATTTCGGCCACCATGTTCAAGCGCTTTCGCTAGGCGCCATCCCGGTCATTGGGGGGGGGG